AGGAGAAGAAGCGATTCAATTCTTCTCCTTGGATTGATACTGACCGATGAGGCAAGGACAGGAAGTGATTCAATTCTTCTCCTTGGGCTTATACAAGGAGAAGAATTGAATCACTTCTTCTCCTTGGGTTGATACAATATCAATTCAAGGAGAAGAAGCGATTGACTTCTTCTCCTTGGGCTGACACAACATTAATCAAAGGAGAAGAAGTGATTCGCTTCCTCTCCCTGGGCTGATACAATATCAATTCAAGGAGAAGAAGCAATTGATTTCTTCTCCTTGAGCTGACACAACATCAATCCAAGGAGAAGTGAATCGCTTCCTCTCCTTGGGCTGATGTTGTATCAGCCCAAGGAGAGGAAGCGATTCACTTCTTCTCCTTGTGCTGATACAGCATCAATCCAAGGAGAAGAAGCAATTCATGTCTTCTTCTTAGAGTGAGAAAATGGAGGGCTTTCAAATGGGCCGGTAAGGCTTCATGATCACACACAAGAGTTAAGGAAGAGCTAAAAGGTGCCCATAAGCATCCTTGAGTGCAATTAAGAATTTTATACATTACATAGTCCGGTAGCCAACATACCTACAACTGGTGACTGCACACAAAAAGCTGCTCAAATTCAGTTCTTTAGATTTGTGTGCCAATAGCATCCAATCAAGCCTGGTCTATGATAGAAGTTTCAATCTCCACCCATATAGAAAAGCCCTCTGCAATGTTTCTTCAAACCCTGGAGAACAAGGCTCAACAGACACTCAGTAGACACTTGGCATTCAGCTCAGCTAGTCTAATGCTAATGAGCTTGGCAAAAAGAAAAGGAGATCACATTGAATGTAGCAGACCAGAAGATAGATTGAAATTTGAATGAAGCAGATCAAAAAATAAATTGAATGTAGCAGATCAAAAGATATCTATTGTGTAGTTGTGTTTTCATTTACATTATTTTAGTTGTTACTGTTTGTGCTATTTGCTTCATCAATGTTGATTGGAGCAGGATTTTCAGGTTCTACAAAAGGAACTAGGGATATCCAATTGTTCTTGAGTCCACGCAATACAACCCACGTATCAGGTAGTGAAATTTTCTTGATCGTCTGGGAAAAATGTGTTGCAGACAACTGAACAGGGTTATCGGCAATTGACAACATGAGGTCTTTTTTCTTAAGTTTATATTGGGTGTTGGTCCCAGGCCAATGAGTTGTTGATTTGGTAATACCAATTGCTTTACCTGGGATCAAACAAAAAACAATTCAAGTCACAATTGGATTGATGGCTAAGTTGTTGATTGCTTGATTTCACTTACTGTAAATCTCTTTTAGCTTTTCTGTAATATAGGTATGATTCTCGGTCAAGCTACCTGAATGAGTTTTTGAATAGAAGAGAAAGATTTAAATGACTGCTGAAGCAAATCTCAAGCGAAGGCAGCTCAAACATACCCTGACAAACATAACGGTTGCCAGGACGCCCTTTGTACTGTTTGTCGGAATCCAAAAACTCAGGAGTGTTGTCTTTGGACACATCAAGACTGGGATTGGTGCTAGACTTCTCATTGATTGTTTGAACCAAATTTGACCCTGGGGAATTTTTCACCTCAAACACCTTGCAAACAGTACTGACAACTGGTGCGGGAAGGTTTACAGCTGGGTTTTTCCTACTTTTTGTCCCAGCAGTCCAAATAGCAAACCTGCTAATTGCATCTCCTTTGTCAATTAGTCCTCGCAAAAATAAGTCCAAAAGAAAACTTCCTCCTTGGAAGAAGTAAGGTTGGCGATGGTCTTGATCGGCAATGACTAAGAAGCCTTCAAGACCAAGGCCATCACTCAACTCCTTCAGCTGATCAAATGAAATCAGTAAGACACACACACAATTGGCTAAATGGAAATGATTGAACATACCTTGAGTTGTACCCCCTTAGCTCAGGTATCAACATTAGCCAGGAGTTTTTTTGTGGACTGGCGCCGGAGGTCAAACTGTGACCGTTCCTCAATGTTGGGATCCTCAGTGGAGTCTGCATCAATCCATTCATCATCATCATTTCCCTTATAGAGGTCTAGGGCGTCTTGATCAAGGGCTCGGTAGGTTTTTGAAGCATCCTTGTTGCGTTGACCAATGCTTTTTTGGGCTGAAAGGTAGTAAAAACAAGTGATCAGTGGGTGTAATCTCTGAATTACAAGATGAGAATGAACTTGGACTTACTTTGATGATATTCCTTCTGGGCTGACTGTCCAGATGATTGGAACTGGTGCCAGGCGCTTTTTTTTTGGCGGGTTTGACATTGTCCAAGGTACTTTGCTAGAGCCTTGAAAGATTGCTGATGCTTGATTGATAGAAGATGTAGTTGTCATTGATATTTGAAGTACATGTCTTGAGCCTCTTGTTTCATTGCTTTGTTCATACGTGTGTATTTAACATGTGTGTTCTGGAACATACAGAGCTGGCGTAAATTATGATCTTTAAAGCTCTCCATTACGTCATCGGGGAGCGTGCTGTCCTTCTTCTAAGGCTTTTCTTTGGAAGGTGCTGGGGTGGCAGTGGTTGTTGAAGATTCTAAATTGAGGCTGGTTTTGGAGTCAATGGGCAAAGGATTCCCAGTTGAGACCAATGTTGAAGTGGTAGCTTGGGATTTTGGAGCTTGGCGTTTCTGCTTTTTTGGGCCTTGGGGGTTGGTAGTCAAAGTAGAATTGGCTTGCAATTTGATTGCCGTAGGATTCCCTGTTGGAACAGATGCAGTAGTGGTAGCTTTGGATTTTTCAGTCTGACGTTTTTGCTTTTGTGGGGTTTTTTTGGTGGGGAGGATGGAGTCGACTGGAGCCACTGAAGCTTGCTGGTGAGTTGTTGTAGGAATTGAAGCTGGGTTTGACAGAGGCTGAGACAGAGTTGGTGGAGGTTCCGTAATATTCTGGGGAGTCAGACCAGGGGAGAAAGTTGGATTGACACTAGTAGTGACTGGGGAGTTGGTAGGGGTGAGACGTCCTGAGGCAGAGTCGATGAAATGTGGCCCATGAGGGGATCCAGAAGGGTTTGCGGAGGTAGATGACTATTGTATATCGGGGCAGTTGAGTTGTGCGGGGTTCCATAGGCAAGGTTTTGGTTTAATTCATTGGATGATTGATCGTAGTTAGCCAAATAATTCTGAGTAAACATTTGGCCTTAGTTGTTGTGAGTAAGGGGTGGATTGGTATACGAATTCTGAAAACTTTGATATCCCAAGCTGGCAAGATCATTAAGCGCAAGGTGTCTGGACTCATTGAACTCAGAGAAGTTGTATTCTTGATTGTTAGATTGCATGGCTGCTGGTCGCTGAGCATGAGTTTGCTGATGGTAGAGGATGTTAAGGTGTTTGTTGAGGATTAGTTCAATAAAAAGGAATAAGGGACATGGAGCGGGAGGTGGTGACGCGTTGGGGTGATGGTTGGTAGACCCAGTTGGTACCTGTCAATTCTGGGACACTTAATACATAATAAGAAATATCTGTAAGTTGTGCTTCTTGGTTACTCTCTCCTGTTAGTTACTGAGGCAAGGGATTTGGAGTGTGGCCGGTGTGGGGTACCAAGGTCAGAGGGCCATACTCTAGAAAACAAATCTGGGGAGAAGGATTTGCGGGATTGGGATTGGAAGCGGTATTTGAACAAAAACAGTGTATTTGCACTGTAGATGCATGTACACATGCATTTCTTTGCTCACTTCTTTAGTGCAAGGTAGGGAGGGGTAAAGGTCCTGCCAACTCGACTCCACAACTCAAACAACCAAACACCCATCTTGACGCCAACACCGCCTCCGATTGCTTTGAACACCCCAAACAACCAGGCCCACCAAAGATCCAATTGCCTTGAACACCTGACTCTGCTGAACTGTGAGCCCTCTCATCCATCATCTCTGCCTGTAATTCATCAGGGGGCTGACCATGTTTCTTCTGTCAGCCCAACCGCCCTAGTGCCCCCATTGACACAAACAAACCACCAAATTGCTGTGAATTGTCCAGCATATCAAGTAAATTATCCACAACACCCGCTGTGTGATCTTGCTGTCGACACTGCCTCCAATTGCTCCGGACGCCCGACTTGACCTAACCAATCAAACACCCCTGTGAGCCACCTCACCCATCATCTCTGGAGCCCATTTGGAAGCCACTGGGCTTCCAGTGGGCATGTCCCAGTAATTGTTCAGCTAGCTGACCAATATTTCATCTGTCAGCCCAAGATTGGCAAAAACTCCAGTGCCTAGAACAAGTCAAACAACCAAGCCGACTCCCCATAGCATTACTGGCAAGTAATAAACTCATTTAATTCATGTTTGTTCCTGTTCCCCATCCCCCAAAGACTTCATATCCCTAGATGGTGCTGTGGGAAAGGGGATTTCGCGTACATTAGAATCCCCTTTCCCATTGTGGGGTAACTTGTTCTTTGGCGTACAGTCAAGGCTAAGTTATTCCTAACAATCCAGGGATTGAATGGATAGCGGTTGTGGGGGATATTGAAGCTACATGACTAACTGAAACCCGTTTAATTCTTCAACAGGGTCTCAGCTTTCAGAATGCCCATTGCAGGAAATAAGTACACTGAAGACAATGTCAAGACACTGGTGCGCCAAACAAACCAATGGCTACTCAGGCTACACGAAAACTCCTTGCAGGTGGTGGTGGACTTCAAAATATTGGCTGCCTTTATTATGCAGGAGATGGATGATGATCTTCACATCCGTAAACTGGTTGAAATGCTGATTCATACCTTTTTTGAATCTGGAAAGCCACAAACCACTCGTCAAAACCAACTTTTGGAATCTGCTCTGGTGGTCCAGAAAAAAATACAAATGTATGATGATAAGATTAAATCACAACCGACTTTTGGGAAACCGTACTGTCTAAGGTATCCAACTCTGGAGGACGTTTGAGCCCAATCAAAGTGCTTGGAGAAACAATGTCGGGTTTTGGATGATTCCAGGATGGTAGTATTACTGGACAAGAATGACATATGTGTTGGTATTGGTCTCCCTCCCCTACCAATGTCTGGAGGGAATCCAGTTCACACCCCCCATGATGTAGGTGAACATTTCACATCTTTGGCATCATTTCAATTACCAATCTGATAAAATTTTTTCAAGCAACGCGCATTGGCCTGTTTAAAAGAGATGGTTAACAATCGAGTTTGCAAATTGCATGTTAGCCAACACCCACCTACATTCCTTTCTGCCCCTCCAGATGGACCACCCCAAACACATTTTCCCATTGACAAAACAACAGAGGGAAATATTTGAACTCCGGAGGGAAGTATAGAGGCCAGTGTTAGTTATCAGGCGTATGGTTTTTGTCAGCCTTAGAGCCAGCCAAGCTGGCCAAAAGACTGCCCAAACTGCCCATTTCTATTCCAAACATTATCTTATCTTTTTTACCTTAAGACTTTTTACTTTTCTGACTTCAGAAATGGATTTCTGGTGTAAAATTAACCCTAGTCACCACTGATCACTTTTACCCAACTCCATTCCTTCATAGACTTTGTAATAATTCACAGTACTCCAAGAATTATTCCAACCTTTAGGTTTCAGCTCCCTCTACCACATGTACATGCCAGATTACATAATCCAACTTTGAAAATCCTCTCTGAGCTTGTTGATTCCGCTTCCAGAGGATTTTCAGACTCCAGACCAACACAGAACACCAACAACCAGACCCAGATCAAGCAAACACTTATCAACCAGAAGGACCTCACTTTTCCTACCTTTCCCACTAATCAGTGTCATTGGTATCATCAGTAATTCTCTTCTCATAAGTTAAGCTAGCATCTTTCTGCTTGTTTCTTTTCTCTGTCTCTCTCAGTTTCCCTTCACTCCTCATCAAACCAAATCCCTGATCAAAGAAAGCAAGCCTTAGCTTCTATTATCTCTTCTCTTCCTGTTTGGTAGTACAACTGAAAACTACATAGGTTTCCCTTTAAAGAGCCTTGATCTTTGATCTAAAAAATTGTGTTTGACCTGATTTATCAGTGTCAATACCCATTTCAGTTTCTGTTGATTTGGAGGCGTCAGAGTTAGCTCCGCTTATAACAGCTATCCAACCTAAGGAAAATAAGACTGTCTGCAGCCATCCAAGAGGACAGTAAGA